CCGTTCATTCATAAAGTTATCGCGGAAAAACCGAACTTTCACGAAGCAATGCTTAGACGCGTGTAGGTAGCTGAATAAAGTGGATGCGAAGCGGCAAAGTAGAATAATGGAGTCGTGAAATAGCACTATTTTCCCGTTTTTCCGTTGTACACTCTAGGTATTATTAACTCTTGATATTATGCTATTCATAGCTATTGCTTTCGATATTTGAAATAAAAAAAATACTTTTTGTTTTCTTATTTAGGTTAGGGATATCAAGCCATAGCGTTAATACACACTGCATCCCTCTAACTTTTAACTTTGATCTCTGTTTGAAGATGCATTTTAAATGGCCGCGGGTCAAAAAGTAGATATTATATTAAAGATGCCTTCACACGCACATTTTTGTGACAACCCACTGTAAAACTTGAGCAAATAACTCACTACTCTTTGACTGAACGTTAGCTTTGAAAATAAAACTGTAAAAATATGTATCTCGCTTATATTCCCTCAACGAAAAAACAACTCGAAAAACGCTTTTCACTGCGGTTCTGCGTCATGGCGGCAAGAGTAGACGCATGTCACGAAACCAGCACAGCCATAGATACCATCAGGAGTAGATAATAGGGAACCTCTATAGGGGGTTCTCTATTATGTACACCTGATAACATAATATAACACATGTGATATGATATCTATGAGCACATGCAGCCTTCATGACCTTCAGCGCTTGGCAACACGTACCGCATGGTAACAAGAAACGCGTCACAACATCGCAGCAGAGCGGCAAAAGTAAACGCTCTTTGAAAAATTCGACCCGACACTTTTACTTTGTAGTCTAAACGCTTTGAATAAACGTATTCCTGAGCAATTTTTTTACCTATCACACATAATATATAGGCAAGTACAAACGTACAATGTTAAAATAATTTATTTTTGCCTGATTTCACGTTTGCTGCTTGAAATTTCTAGGGAAGGCACCTAGTTTAAGCTGCTAAAGATGATCGGGTTCATCCGATAGGAAATCTACAGCCTTTAGCGAAGATACCACTTATAAAAAGAGTACGTATGTACAACAAAGTACCCAACTGTCAACTATTTGCCGTTGCTAGAAAATAGAAAACTAAACTGCAAATTCGATGGATTACTTGTGTACATATACGGGACACATTGAAAGGTATATGTCAGATGGACCTAGATTATGGTCTCTTATGGCTATAATTTAAAAGCGTGTGAAAGATAATCACTAACCATATGGTATAATGTATGGTTAACTTGCTTTACCTTTTAAAATAATTTAGCAGAAAGGCTGTCACTGTAAAATTGTATTTATGTAATAGTGCAAGCCGCGCATTGAAATTTTTTTTAATGTCTAATTCAAAACATTCGAATCATCTGAACTAATAGTAATAGAATTTTACGCAGTTTTTTTAATACTTTATTGAAATGTGGGTGACGGCTGTCTACATTCTGTGTACTTGGTAATAATTGAGCTTTGAATATATTGTATAATTAATACAGTGGCCAATGAATATATTCATAGTGGTCGCTCTTACCTGTTTACACGTGCACTATTTTCCAGCAAAGAATCTATTTATAAATTAATCAATACTTAGTAAACAAAGCTAGAAATATTACTCGAAAATCATGTAGAAAGTCACATTAGACTGATGGCGGATGAATGATCTCTACTGAGGGGCACATCCGATGTGGCTGCCTAATAACCATTTAATAAATCTAATTGCAATGGTGATGTTCTCTACAAAGGGTATCACAATGAATTGCCGCGTAATCTTGTACCTGAATTGGGTCCGGAGATTGCAGCTGGAGAGCAGCCGTCGACGACTGCTGCTTAATTAAAGATCGAGCTAATCCGGAATTATGTTAATAGCAGCTTCGTCGTTATAATTCCTACTGCCGTGCGGGCAATCGGGCGGCTAAGCTTGTATGCGTTTAGAGCTGTGTAGTATGCTCTATGTGAGTCTACATTAGCAAATGCAATCAATTACACTGTGTATCCGTCGGACGATAGGACCGGGCCTAAACAATCCACGCACTTGTGCCGTCGATGTAGCCGATTTCGTGCACACATACACGCACGAGGGGCTATCAGCTTAATCATCACTGCGCCCAGATAGTACTCCACCATGGGCTACATAATACGGACGAGGTAGGCAGTCACTACAAGCAGGATGCCTATCGTCACGGGAGTCGGGTAATTTGCGCTACGGTCCCTTTCCGTCACCCCTCAGGTTACCCGACGCGCCAATCTTGTATGAGAATCGAAGTGCTTGTAATTAAACCCTCTGGGCACTTTCGTCACGTAATCCTGTCTTATTTGCGCTGCGTAACTCAGTTCGGTTAGCGCGCACCCTCCGTGAAATGTCACTGCGTGCGTCATATCTCACGTGCCGAAAACAAGACGCTCGTCTATTATTCTAACGATTAGCTTCTGCGCACGCGCGCTCATGTTTGTTTAACTCTTCAAAAAATCCAGATCACGGAAGGGTTCATGTAGTGTTTCGGCGTAAAACCAGGGAACGTCGTTAATGGATTTGCCGTCGTTTCCACGAATATTATGCGTTCTCAGGCCCTGCTTATTATTAGAAAGAGATGCGAATTAGCTGGCATCGTGTGTCTGACAGCACACTAACGCTTTCAGGCATAGGGTGAAATACGATCGAGTTCTCCTCGTCGGGTAATTACGTCATTCGTCATTAGCGTCGCGGCTTGTTTGAGTGATAACTGAATAGTTTTAGTTCTGGTGTAAAGCAATTTCTTTGAGGATGCGTGTAGAGAAGACCTGTAGGGTTTTATAGGGAAGGCGTGTAGCGGAGATGTGTAGGATTGTATGGAGGAAGCGTGTGAGAGATATGTAGGGGATGCGCGTAGGATTGTGTATGGGAGATGTGTAGGGGTGTGTAAGAGAGGTGTGTAGGGGTGTGTAGGGGTGTGTATAGGAGGTGTGTAGGGTTGTGTATGGAAGGTTTGTAGGGGTGTGTAGGGGAGGTGTGTAGGGGTGTGTAGGGAAGGTGTGTAGAAGTGTGTAGGGGTGTGTAGGGGAGGTGTGTAGGGTTGTGTATGGGAGGTGTGTAGAAGTGTGTAGGGGTGTGTAGGGGAGGTGTGTAGGGTTGTGTAGGGGAGGCGTGTAGGGGTGTGTAGGGGAAGTGTGTAGGGGAGGTGTGTAGGGGTGTGTAGGGGAGGTGTGTAGGAGTGTGTAGGGAAGGTGTGTAGGGGAGGTGTGTAGGGTTGTGTATAGCGGATGCGTGTAGTATTGTGTAGAGGGGATGTGAAAGGGTGTGTAGGGGAGGTGTCTAGGAGTGTGTAGGGTAGGTGTGTAGGGGAGGTGTGTAAAGGTGTGTAGGCGAGGTTTGTAAGGAGAGTGTATGGGGGGGGGGGGTGTGAGGAGAGTGTAGCGGTGTGTAGGGGAGGTGTGTAGGGAAGGTGTGTAGGGGTGTGTAGGGCAGGTGTGTAGGGGTGTGTAGGGGAGGTGTCTAGGAGTGTGTAGGGTAGGTGTGTAGGGGAGGTGTGTAGGGTTGTGTATAGCGGATGCGTGTAGTATTGTGTAGAGGGGATGTGAAAGGTTGTGTAGGGAAGGCATGTATGGTTGTGTATGGGGAGGTGTGTATGGTTGCGTAGGGGTGGCATCTAGGGTTGTGCAGAGGTGGTGTGTTGTATTCTGAAGGGAGGCGTGTACGGTTGGTAGGGAAGGCGTGTACGGCTGTGTAGAGGTGGCGTGTAGGGTTGTGTAGGTGAGGCGTATTGGGTTGCGTAGGAGAAATGTGTAATGTTGTGTAGAGGTGGCGTGTAGGGTTGTGTAGGAGAGGTATCTAGCGTGGTGTAGCGGAGACATGTAACGTTGTGTAGAGGAGGTGTGTAGAGATGTGTAGGAGAAGTATCTAGCGTTGTGTAGCAGAGACATGTAACGTTGTGTAGAGGAGGTGTGTAGAGTTGTGTAGGGGAGGTATCTAGCGTTGTGTAGCGGAGACATGTAACGTTGTGTAAAGGAAGTGTGTAGGGTTGTGTAGGGAAGGTATCTAGCATTGTGTAGCGGAGAAATGTAACGTTGTGTAGAGGAGGTGTGTAGGGTTGTGTAGGGGAGGTGTATAACGTTGTGTACAGGTGGCCTGTAGATTTCTGTAGATGTTGCGTGTAGGGTTGTGTATGGAGGGTATATACCGTCGTCCAGAACTGTAACAACGACTCCGTGGCCCGTGTACTTCTCCCACACTGGCATCACATGAAGATCGAGCTTGGGCAGATCGAGCGTCGTTCTTGTGTCTTGCTATATGTAAATAAACAAGAGAATATAAGGCAAACTTCGATATATGAGGGTAACTCGATTTATTTGTTTACTAAGGAAAGACAAGCATGCACATACCAAAATCTATAAATATAAATGGTTTTACAAATTTACGAACACCAACATTTCTATCATGTATATTCCGAGTGCACTCTACCTCGGAACTACATATTGGCTTTATGGTCACGCAGTAATATACGACGACGACGTCGACGTTTCCGTATATTTTCATTGCAACGCTAAACAGTTTGTCCCAGTTGACTGGATCGGACTTGTCTCGCTTATAGGATTACATATCAGATATGGGGGGCATACAACAGTTACCTTCCGCAAATTGTGCCCTATTTGGTCCCTAGAAAAGGCCTTCTTTTGATTTTTTTCGGCAAAATTCGGCACTAGAGTGCACTAATTTGCCTTATGCACGCAAGATGGATGCCTCGTGGACGTCTAGAAGGCACTAGAAGTAAGATTAGTCTTGTTATGTCGTGTAATTGTCCTAATCCGGCAAGTGGCGTAGCCATGGTGACCGGTCGACCATTCCTGTGTTTGAAACGGAATCCGATTACTTTGTATAAATGCGCATCATATAACTGCCAAACGTTTCGAGCGGAATGTAGAGCTCGAATTTGTGGTTATTTAACATGAATAAAGTGTATTTTGTGTATGAAACGAAACACTGAGTATTTTTAATTAATTAAATTTCTAATTTTTTTAATTAATTTAATTAATTTCTGTTCGATGCATATTTATGTCTGCCGCCTACGCACGCCTTCTACTGTTGTACACCACCTATGACCGCGCTTGTGCCTGTAGATATACAAAAATAATTTTTGACATTATCGTAATGAATGTGTTTCGGCTTCTGTATGCGAAGTTTATGGTCTGTGATTATTGTACACTCACTAGGATTTAATCGTTATAACCACTACGCATTCTATACCGCGTTCTTGTTCTCGTTTTTATTACTCGGAATAGTTAGATCAAGATTTTTCACATAATTAAGTTATATATATATATATATACCTACACACACACATGCGCGCACACACACGCGCACACGCACACGCACACGCGCACGCACACGCACACGCACACGCACACGCACACGCACACGCACACGCACACGCACACGCACACGCACACGCACACGCACACCCGCAAACGCACACGCACACGTCCTCTCCCTGCCCTCCTCCTCTCTCCTCCTCCTCTCTCTCGCTCGTCGCTCCTCCTCCTCTACCTCCGCCCCCTCCTCCTCCTCCTCCTCGCACCTCCTCCACTTCTCTTTGCGCCACGCTTCTCTCCACGTTATCCCGGCTCCTCCTCCACCACCTCCTCTCCTGCTCTCCTCCTGCCTCCTCTTCCTCCTCGTCCACCTCCTCCTCTTCCTCCACCTTCTTCCCGCTCCTCCACCACTACCTTCTTCCCACGTTCTCCTTCTCCTCCACCTCCTTTCCTCCTCCTCCTCCTTCTCCTTTTCCACCTGCTCTCCTCCTCTCCTCCTCTCCTCCTCTCCTCTCCTCCTCCTCCACCACCTTCTCCCCCTTCTCCTCCACCTTCTTCCACTTCTCTTTCGCCACCTTCTCTCCACGTTATCCCCCTCCTCCTCCTCCACCTCCTCTCCTCCTCCTCCTCCTCCTCCTCCTCCTCTTCTCCTCGTCCACCTCCTCCTCTTCCTGCCACCTTCTTCCCGCTCCTCCCACACACCTTCTCCCACGTTCTCCTTCTCCTCCACCTCCTTTCCTCCTCCTCCTCCTCTCCTCCTCCTTCTCTTTCTACCTGCTTCCTCCCTCTCCTCTCTCCTCCTCCACCTCTCTCTCCTCCTCCTCCTCCTCTCCTCGCTCGTCCACCTCCTCCTCTTCCCTCCACCTTCTTCCCGCTCGCTCACCACTACCTTCTTCCCACTTCTCCTTCTCCTCCACGTCCTTTCCTCCCTCTCCTCCTTCTCCTTTCCACCTGCTCTCCTCTCTCTTCTCTCCTCCTCTCCTCCTCTCCTCCTCTCCTCCTCCTCCTCTACCTCCGCCCCCTTCTCCTCCTCCTCCTCCACCTTCTTCCACTTCTCTTTCGCCACCTTCTCTCCACGTTCTCCCCCTCCTCCTCGCCTTCCACCTGCCTCTCCTCCTCCTCCTCCTCCTCTTCCTCCTCGTCCACCTCCTCCTCTTCCTCCACCTTCTTCCCGCTCCTCCACCACTACCTTCTTCCCACGTTCTCCTTCTCCTCCACCTCCTTTCCTCCTCCTCCTCCTCCTTCTCTTTTTCTACCTGCTCTCCTCCTCTCCTCCTCTCCTCCTCTCCTCCTCTCCTCCTCTCCTCCTCTCCTCCTCCTCCACCACTCTCCCCCTTCTCCTCCACCACGTTTTCCCCACGTTCTGCCCTCCTCCTCCTCCAACTCCTTTCCTCCTCTTCCTCCACCTCCTCTCCTCCTCTCCTCCTCCTCCACCCCCTTCTCCCCACCTTCTCCCCCTCCTCCTCCACCACCTTCTTCCATCTTCCTTCTTTCCCTTTTTCCGGAGGAGAGTAAATGTCCGGGGGGTAACTGTCGGGGGGGTAAATGTCGAGGGTAATTGTCCGGGGGTAAATGTCCGGTGGGGTAATTGTCCGGGGGGTAAATGTCCGAAGGTGATTGTCCGGGGGTGATTGTCCGGGGCTAAAATGTCAGGGAGGGTAAATGTAATCCGGGGGGTAATTGTCCGGGGGGGTAAGATGTTAAGGGGGTA